TCCGATGATCAGATCTTGGCTCGGGCCTGTCGACCAGAGACACTTGTCCAGATAAGAGTGGCACGCCTCAGGCTTTTCGGACAAATTGCGAATTCGGCTCCGTCAGTGCTCTTAACGTTAATCGTGGCGGAGAGTGCTGCACACTCCGCGTCGTGGCTAGAGCAAGTCAAAGATGCCATGTACTGGCTACGACGCTCGGCCCATCAAGTCACAGAGTTTCCGACCCCGGTGGCCGACTTTAAACACTGGACGTGTTTCATACGATCCGCCCCACGTCGATGGCAGGCCATCATTCGTTCAGCTGCGCAAGCATGCGCAAACGAAGTCACTAGGCGAGTCAGGGCGCAGCACTGGGAGCGCACAATCATGGCAAAGGCGCATGAGGCAGGACTGCCCCCAGCGCGAGATCAACCCGCTCCACCCACCCCTCCCTCGAATCCCCAGAGCCCCTTTTGTGCAAGGACGTTTCCGTCACATGTAGGTTTAAGTACACACATTGCCCGTGCACACACATCGTACAGTGACATTGCACGGCGACACTTGTCTGGCAACAAGTGCCTGGCATGTGGAAAGCAATATGCAAGTACAGTAGTGTTGTTTCAGCACGTACAACGTGACAGCGCATTGTGCATGTTATATTATGTCCTGCATGTGCCTCCGATGGACGAGCAGCAGCGCACGCTTGTGCAAGAGCAGGAGGCCCAGGAAAGAAAAGACAATCGAATTCATGGTAGGCCTCGCACCTTTGCGAAAGTTCCGTGTGTTGCAGGCGACAGCGTGCCACTAGAGGCACAACAATTGCGAGCAAAGTATACTCAGAGCGAGGCCAGACAGTTGCTCAGGGATCAGCATGATTTCTACGTCGGGAAGCCCCCTCCTCCTCCTCCTGTACCTCCTCCTCCCCCCCCTCCTGAGTTTCCTGACTGGTTTCTAGATTTCCCGTTCGACCCAGAGGAATTTCAAGGCAGTTTCGCAGACATATACCCCCGCCCGCTTCGACGCAGGACCATTTTTATAGTCAACATGTTTAGTGGAGTCCGAAGAGTAGGCGACATTCAGGATGCTGTCGAAGTGACTCACCAGACAAACACGAGTGACCTCGACATATGGGCTTTCAGTTTAGATGTTGTGATTGATCAGGTCCGAGGGGGCCTGACCCACACGCCCACCATCGACTTGTGGGAAAATCATCTACTTGCAGGCCGGATTGCAGTCATAGGAGGGGGGGCCCCATGCGAAACCTTCAGCGCGGCCCGCTGGCTGGAAGGAGGCCCCCCTCCATTGCGCAGTTGGCAGCAGCCATGGGGAACGACTCCCATCACACAAAGGCAACATCTCCAACTGGAGGTTGGGAATCTGCTGCTGCAGGCGACCGTTCGCCTGCTTGTCGCAGCACTAAGGTGCGGAGCTGCAGCGTGAATGGAGCATCCAGCACCCTCGGACTGGAGACCGCAGGCAGTGCCATCGTGGTCATTTCGACCCTTGCAAGCTGTCAGAGCAGCCCCAGCCTCTGATTTTGTCATCTTCGACCACTGTGAGCATGGCCAGATCGGACGTGCACCCACTGGCATTTTAGCTGTCAGGCTGCACACGATGAGAGAGTATCTTTTAGACACCCCGGGTAGAGGCTTCTGCTCCCACCCTCGGGGCACACATGTAACACTCACCGGCAAGAAGGAGTCGGGAGAGTTTCCCACGGCAGCCAAGAAAGTGTATCCAGCCAGCATGTGCAGTGCAATAGGTAGAGCAATGCTAGACCATGTTTTACTAGCAGCGGATTTAGTCAACATGGAACCCGACCCACCAGACCCCTCATTGTTACAGTTTTTTGTGCCATCGCTATTTGACGTTGAAAGCGGCCGCCCGCTGTACGGGCCAGATTTCGCCATTGCCAGGAAAAGCAGAAAGCCCACTGCGTTCAGCAGATTGCGAGGCATCTTACACCCCAATGAGGAGAGTCTTGGGCAGGGAGATCCGCCATCAGAGGAGCACACCTCCATTGGGTCTCAGCATTTGGAGGCAAGAGTTGCATCCCAGTCAGCCCCACCTCCGCCTCCTCCTCGTCCTCCCCTCCTCACTGCTGAGCAGCGTGAACGCATAGAGCGCAACAGGAAAGAAGCAGCTGTTCGCCACAAGGCAAAAAGGCAGGAACAAATGCGCATTGCACTGCCAGAGCAAGGAGTTTTATTCCCAGAGCTGGCTACAAGACCAGCACGGGGGACACCATCAGTGACAGCAGCAGCAGCCACGTACGGGCCCAATGACATAAGATATTGGCTGGTTCCAAGCCAACAATGTCGCACAGGCCCTATAAAGACACATATTATATGAGCACACAACTTCACGCATCATACATCACACACGTGGCTGCAAGCACGAAATGTTTCAGTAAGTTTCTAGGCCGACATACAGGGCACTTAATATGGGGCATGGAGAGGGTCGAATGGGGTTCGGAGGGGTCAGCAGGTTACACCGCAGGCCAGCGATCGCGGCAGGCCCTCCTCCACCATGCCTTCCAGAATTTCGAGTACCGCAAGGCCGGTATGGGAGGATGAGGAGGAGGAGGAGGAGGAGGAGCCAGCAAGTTTAGTTTTTCTTCTAGCTTTTTTGCCGGACACTGATCCGTGAGGCCTCAGCGAGGCCTCAAGCGGGTGGCAGGTTGGGGATCGTGGTGGCTTTTCAGAGCATGCAGCTCCAGACTGCATGCTCAGAAACTGCTTTTGAGTTTTACTCCTCCTTGTGGCGCGCCGTACGGACGCGCCCCAGACGGCGCTGAGATGCTTGACGCGTCCTCCTGCCGAGTCGATCCGATCCTCCCTCTTCTCTCCCACTCCCACTCCCCCCCCCCGCATCAGAAGGAGGATGAGAAGGAGTTGGAGGAGGCGGACCTCCCCAGCCTCCCTTCTCCCCCGTCCGACCTATGGTAGTGGTGGTGGAAAACTGGCCCATCAGCTGTGGAGGTTGAGCCGGGGACCAGGCCGCAGGACAGGCGGAGGGTGGTGAGGAAGGCCCGGGCGCCCTGGCCCCCGGTGGGGCGGCGACACTGGAGGGTGGGTCTGGGCCCCCCCTTGTGTTGGGGCTCCCCCCCGCCCTCAACATGGGGCTCTCGGGCCCCTCGCTTGGTTTGCAGCAGGGCTGGACCTAAACGTTGTCTTCCGTGCTGCTTCCGCTCTGCTGCTCGTTTCGCCCTGCCTGTGTTTTCCTGCACCTCCCTCCCGAAACGACGAAAAGCAAAAGACACGGCCGAGGTCCAGCAACACCGAAGGGGCCTTGGGACACACACAAATAGATACACCCAAATAACAGGAGTCCCCATATTTTCCTATCTATATATATATATATATGTATTATGGGTTCTTGTCTTCCCCCCCACTTCCCATATTTTCGCATCTTTTCCTGGGCACCGTCGACTCATTGTGTGTCTCTGTGTGTGTTTTTTCCCCTCCTGCAAAAGCAGCGCTGGGGTCCAGCCCCTGGCCTGCAGCCCGCACGGGGGGCGCGCTCGGCGGGCGGGCCCCCCCTGGGCCCGCGGCCGCCCGCCCCCGGCGCCGAGGGCGGCGTCGTGCGGCGGCCTCCGGGTCTCGTGCCGCGGGCGCGCGCGCGCCTCGCCGTGTCGGAAGGGGGTGGGCGCCTGCTCTGACTACACCTCATTACCCAGACATCGGGCGTCTCGAAAAAATCGAGACAGAGGTTTTCCATAGTTTTTGGCCTCTCGGAGCCCTCGCTGGGCCTCGGGACCGTCAAAAAACGACTCGGGATGAAAAACCGGTCCCAGGGAAGTGGTCGGGAGGTCGGGGGCCCGCGTCTCGAAAAAATCGAGACGTCGGATGTCTGGGTACCAGACCACCCCCCAACCCAACCCGAAGGCCCGAATTTCGGGTGGGGGGGGGGGGGTACGGGTTCCAGATGTGTTTTTGTCAGTGCTCCCCGACCACCCCCCACTGGAAGTGGAGGGCAAGTTGAGGCCTTCGGGTTGGGTTGGGGTAGTTTGGTGGGCGTCTTCTCAGTCGGCGGTTCGGCATTGGGCGGGGAGGGGGGCGGGGAGGCGGTGGGGGGGTCCGGCTCCGGACCTCTGCTTGAGGCGACTGCCTGCAGCAGTGCGTCATGTGGGGGAGGCTCCACCTGCCCGAAACAGGCGCCCAAAACAGCCAAGATCTACTCCATGGAGAGGGGGGGAGGGGAAAGATTGCGAGGACCCGCGCCGATCGGCAAAACAACGAATCAGAAAACGATCACCTACGTGCTTGATAATTTTTCCAGCACGTGGTGAGTGATTTTGCACCTGCGTGCGCGAGCTTGTCGGGAGCGGCCAAGAGGGGGGTGTCCAAGAGGGGGGGGTGCAAATCATGACCGGCGGCATGTGCGCGGCCCAGCGGGGGGGCCAGGAACGTAATGAAATAAGAAGAGGCGCCATGAAATCTGGGGAAATATCATGGCCCACGCCATGATATCCACCCCCCCCTAGTCATCACCCCCCTCTTTTCCGCCCCCGAGCTTGTCTGTGTAAGGGCCAGCACCCGACCACCGTGGACCTGCCGGGGCTGAGAGCCCCCGGCGGCCTTGACGGGCCCTTTCAACACGGTAGAAGTATGCACCGTACCTTTCCTGCCTCGAGAAACAACGACGCCCCAGGGGAAGCCAACGCGGTACGGTGCACACAAGTCGTCCGCGGATATCCGTGTGACCACATGTCCGCGGGTATACGGACATGATGGGCGGCTGTTCCACCACCACTACCAGAAGTAGGAGAGGGAGAGGAGGTGGAGGGAGGAAGAGGAGGAGGAGGAGGAGGAGGAGGAGGAGGAGGAGGAGGAGGACCTCCGCATCCTCCTCCTCCCCCGTCCTGCCCGTGGCAGTGGTGGAAGACCCGCCCACGAAGACGTGCTCGCCGCTCGCGGGAGGAGCAGGAGGCGCAGGGAAGGCCCGAGCGTCCGGCAGGACGCCCCCGCCCCCTGGGCCCCGCCCCCCTATGGGCCCCCGTGGTGACGGGCGGCCCCCGCCTGCGGAGCGGAGCTCCAGCAGCTGGGGGCGGCCCCTCGGCAGCGAGACGGCGGCGCCGGCCGAGTGGGGGCCCTGCTCGAGCTCGCCCTCGGTGAGGTGGATGGCCTGCGGCGGGCCTCCTCCGCCGTCTCCTGCCTCCTCCTCCTCCTCCTCCTCCTCCTCCTCCTCCTCCTCCTCCTCTTCCTCCTCCTCCTCCCTCCTCCTCTCCCTCCCTCCTCCTCCTCCTCCTCCTCCTCTCCTCCTCCTCCTCCTCTCCATCCCCTCCTCCCCCCTCCTCCTCCTCCTCCTCCTCTTCCTCCTCCTCCTCCGCCTCCTCCTCCTCCTCCTCCCCCTCCTCCTCCTTCTCCTCCACACCACCATCATCACGTTTGTCCCACGGCTCCTCCTGGTCCGTCTGCTCCTCCTGGTTTCGTGATGTTCCATCTCCTGCTCCTCATCCACATCATGCTCCCGCTGCGTCTCGTGCCCCTGCTCCTGGATTGATTATCTTCGCCAAAGAACTCCTCGCCGTCGCACCACCAAACGTGACGTGTCGTCGGGCTGGGGCGGGCACTCCCCACGAAACCTCCTCACCGCTTACCGCCTGGAAGCTTGCAAATCCCAGCCGCTGCACAGACGGAGGGCGGAACCGTTCAAAATGGCTCTCGCCTTGGCACCGTGCACACTCGTCTGAAACAAAGTGCAGTTATAAGTTCTACGAGTGGAAGATGGGAACAGGAGGTAGCTTTCAAACTTGGGTTCCCGCTTGGGCCCCGCGCGCGCTCGTCCTCACAAAAGCCAAGAGCTGCACGGATGGAGCGCGGCCCCTTTTCACAATGGCGCTCTCGCCTGACACTTTCTCAACAAGCGCCACCACAAATGAGAAAGTGTGAAGCCGCTCGAGGGCGGCTCCTTTTCTAAGATGGGGCTCGCTTGATACTTAGGCAACGGTAGGCGTTGCAAAGAGAACGTGCAGCATCGATCACCGAAAAGCGCGTTCGTCATTCAAACGGAGAGCCCCACACCGGGAAATCGGTGTCGGTTTTGTGTTCGTGTCGTGCGTGAGGGCAAGGCTAAGCTGCGGGTGCGCGGGACAAGAATGATGCCGCCGTGGCTAGGGGCCGTGGAACCGTTCGACCGTTCCCCCCCTCCCGGGCGCGCAGGTGCCTGGGATGCCCCGCCGGTGGCGCGGGGGTGCCCCGTCGGTGGTGCCGGGGTGCCACGCCAGTGGCGCGGGGGTACCCCGTCGGTGGCGCGTTAGTGAGATCGATACTGAGGTCGACACAGAGATCGACAGTGAGGTTGATTGTGATATTGGTTGTGAAATAAAAAGCGGGGACGACGGTCACACTACATCACAGCGCACACGCGTCTTGGCTAACTCGAGGGCGCGTCACCAGCATCGTCATCATCACACCCATCGCATTTGACAGCAGTTGGTTCTCTCCCCCACCCCACAACCTCCTTATCACCCCACAACCTCCTTATCACCAAAAGGGTGGTCGTATAGGTATCGTTTGATTGCAATGTGTGTTCAGTTTGCTGCACGCATGTTTCATGTCAGTAAGCCTTTCTGGCTGGGAATTGGAGTGTCCTGAGATCCCTTGAGCCTTCCGTCCTGTCCTGAGTATTGAATACTCCGGAGCCCCAATCCCAAATTCACGGCTTCTCCGGGGCGTGGCGCGTTCCTTCCAGGCCGTGTCGCTTGCTGGCGCGTGTTGTCGCATGACTTTCTCGGAGCCAAAAGGGCCCGGCCAAGAGGGCCCCAAGAGGTCCTCCAGACGGTCCAAGAGCGCACCGAGCCGCCCGAAGTTCGCTCCGAGACGCCCAAGATGGCCTCCAGACGGCCCAAGAGGGCCCCAAGACGCCCCAGGAGGGCCCCAAGAGGCCCTCCAAGAGGGAAGCAAAAATCATGGATGTCCCTGAAATGTTTGAAGGGTTTAGCGTTCTCACCTTTGCCCTGGTTTTCGAGGCTCGCAGGCAGCCCAAGAGGCCCCCAAGCTCACCCACAGACGGTCCGAAAGACCCTCGAGAGGCCCCCCAGACGGGCGCGTGGGTCACTTTACAACCAGAAGCGCACTTTACAACCAGATGGGTCACTTTACAACCAGCTTACAAAATCCGAGAAGGGCACTTTACAACCAGGAAGGGCACTTTACAACCAGGCAAGTGGAAACACATATTGAGTGCACGCGGGCCTTTCCCTGAAATCTCCGCGGGCAAGCGCAAGGGTGGCTTTGGGCCCTTTGAGGCATGTTGGTTGTAAAGTTGCTCATCGCGCACGAAGAAGCACTGCGCGCGCGTTGGTGATGCGACAACCTTGTGCGCTATGGTATGTTGCGTGCTGGTGGGCGGATTATGGTTTTGACCTGCTCTCTAAACTCTGTCGGTCAGTTCTGCCATTGCTTGCTCTGCCTTTGTCTGACGGACGAAGGCTACTCGCGCAGGACATAGGAATAAACCATGATCCTGTCCAAGACTGGAGATGCATGGCAGTGGGAAGCTGTAGTGGGAGATGTGGTAGCGAGGGCTACAATGGGAACTGCATGGTGTTGGGAAGCTGCGGTGGCAACTGTAGTGGTCGCCAGGCAGCGGTGGGAACTGTGGTGTTAGCTGGGCTGCAATGGGATATGTGGTGGTAGCGGGGGGTCAGTCAGAATTGTGGAGGTAGCGGGGCTGCAGCGGTAAGTGTGGTGGTAGCAGGGTTGCAGTGGAAACTGCAGTCGAAGGGGTTCAATACGAGGCCGTTGGTGAAGACCCCGACCACCGTCTTGAACATGGCGGTGACCGCGGAGGTGGACACGCCCCAGCAGGTAGACATGGAAGTAAGGCACGTCAAAGGAGAACGCGCCCAGCGGGAATGGAAACCGCTCAAAGGCACCGCTGGGGCCTGCGCAGAACGTTCAGGCGCTCGGGCTCCGGAGCGCCCACGTGCTCTGGAGCACTTTTCAGAGCGCCCGCGCGCCCTGGAGCATTTTTCAGAGCGCCCACTTGCTCTGGGGCACTTTGCGGAACGCCCAAACACGCACGGCCACTCTGAGCTGGTTGTAAAGTGGTCCGTTCTGGTTGTAAAGTGGCCCGTTCTGGTTGTAAAGTGGTCCGTTCTGGTTGTAAAGTGGGCCGTTCTGGTTGCAAAGTGGACGTTCTCGCTGAAAAACCATACTTTCCAATCCTATGTTGGTTGTAAAGTAACCCATATGGTTGTAAAGTGGTTGTTCTGGTTGCAAAGAGACCGAATCTCCCCCAGACGGTCCCGGGCGACGAGGTCCCCCAGACAGCCCAGGAGGGCCCCAAGAGGGGCCCAAGACAGGCCCCAGAGAGGGGGGGAACACGCAGCGGCATGATGAGGGGCCCTCCGACCCCAGACAGCCTCCGGGACCGCGGGCAGCCCAAAAAAAGGAAGCCCCGCGGGAGCTCCAGGACCCCCTCATCCTCGATGCCCGAAGGCCCCAGAGCCTGGATCCCCAATGCCCCCTCCCTGCGCGGCGCTCGAGGGCCCTCGAAAACTCGAGAACCTCCGCCGCCCACCCTCCTCCCGCAGAGGAGCGGCCACCTCGGGGGGCGGCCACCCCAGGGGGCGGCCGGGCGGGGGGCGCCCCCGGGGGGGGGGTCGCAAATCCTGGCCCGAGACACGCGCGTGGGCCAGGGCTGGGTCGGGCATGTCTCCCTACAGGCGGATGTTCGACAAAAAATCAAGAACAGCGAAAAAGCTCAAAATTGTTAAATTTTTTGAAAACAACAACCTCCACAGACTAGATTCTGACTATTTGGGAATATTCCTCCCGTAGAGGGGCACGCCCGACTTAAGCCCAAGGGGGGGGGCCCAAGGGACGTACGTAGAGGCCTCTCAGACGTGGTCCGAGCAGATGGGGTCGGCGGATCGCGCCGCATCGCCAGTGCATCGACGGTGCATGGACGATACATCGGCGACGTTCGCGGTGCATGGCCTTCCTGCGTGGACAAAGCGGGCTCCACGTCGAGCCGCATCGCCGAGGCACCGACCACGCGGCGCGATCCTCGAAGACCATCCGCGCCGGCCCCATCTGGGACGCCTACGAAGATCATGGCCCGAGGCGCGTGCGCGGACCTGGGGGGGGCCCAAGGACACACAAATAAATACACACCAAATCAAAGGATTCGCCATATTTCCCAATATTTTCTGGGTTCTTGTCCTCCCCCCACTTCCCATATTTTCCCGTATCTTCTGGGGAAGCGACGATGAATTGTGTCTGTGTGTGTTTCCCCCTCCTGAGAAATCCAGGGAGAGCCCGGGGAGATTTCGCGGCCCTGGCCACGAGGTACCCCCCACCCCGGTCCTCCCCCCCCCTCTTGGCCGCCCCCGATGCCCGGGCCCCTCCTCTTCCAAGGCCTCGACGCAGGGGCGCGCCCCGCCCAGGCTCCCCAGGCGGCCCGCCCGGGCGAGGCGCCGGAGAGATCCGCCCCGACCCCCCCCCCCAGCCGATCCTCGAGGGCCCTCAGAACCTCGACACTCGATCGCCCACCCCCCTCGATGCTCCAAGGACGATGCGCCCCCCCCCACAACACCGCTTCCCGAGCCCCCCCCCATCGATGCTCAAGGGCCCTCAGAACCTCGATCCTCGAGCCACCCCTCGCTGCTCGAAGAACGATGCGCCCTCCAGAGCCTCGACACTCCATCCACACCCTCGATGCTCGAGGGCCCTCAGAACCTCGATCCTAGATCCTCGAGCCACCCCTCGCTGCTCGAAGCACGACGCGCCCTCCAGAGCCTCGATCCTCCGTCCACACCCTCGATGCTCGAGGGCCCTCCGAATCTCGACCCTCGACCCGACCCGCCCCTCGCTGCTCGAAGCACGACGCGCCCTCCAGAGCCTCCACACTCCGTCCACACCCTCGATGCTCGAGGGCCCTCCGAACCTCGACCCTCGATCCTCGAGCCACCCCTCGCTGCTCGAGGAACGATGCGCCCTCCTGAGCCTCGATCCGCGACCCCCCCCCCTCGATCCTCGAGGTCCCTCAGGACTCAGAACCTCGTGCCTCGATCCGCCTCCCTTGCTGCTCGAAGGCCACTGGTCCCCTGGCATCCTTCGATCTGATCTTCTCGATTCGCCGCCCTAGACGCCCCGACCACCTGGTCCAGCGTAAGCTGGCGCCCCGGATCCGTCTTGGGTTGTCCTGGGGCCCGATAGCGGGCCCGGGAGGCCAAAGCCGGGGAAGAGTGCCTGGGTGGCAAACGAAAATCGTATCCGTGGAGACCTGGGTTCTCGACTCCGCATCACCCTCATCGCTCGATGCCCGAAAACCCTCACAGCCTCGGTCCCCCACCCCCAAGCAGGAAACCCCAGAATCGAATCGACAACTCGGATCGGCGGTCGAAGTGAATCGGATCGGCGGGAATCGGCTGCCAAGTCGGGAAAAGCCGAACCGGCGGAAATCGGCAGCTCAGTGAGGCTTCGGCTGCGAAATCGAAATCCGAATCGGAACCCAAAGCCGAATCGGAGCGGAATCGGAAGCCATCGAAACCGAATCGGATCGAATCTGGAAAATCAAAGTGAGCTTGGCGGCTCGCACAAGGGGGTAGGGGAAGGAGGGAAGGCTTCTTAGAAGCAGGCTGCTTCTTAGAAGGAGCCGGCCTTGCATCTACAGAGAAGGCCCGCGCCTTCGAAGAAGCAGGGGTGCTTCTAAGAAGCCGTCCCCCCTCCCCCCACCCCCCTCTCCGCGTAGCCGATGAGCCCTGCCCAAGCCCCCGCAGAGGCGCGGCCAGCTCGGCGCCCTCCACCTTCGAAAGCACGGTCACCTGCCGGTGCAGTTCGGCCCCCCACCCCACCCCCAGGGCTAGGTCAGGCTTAGGAGGCAACTGCTGGGAGGTTTTCGTCGGAAAGATTAAGGAGGATTAAGCCCCATTTGGGAGCTGTTACGCCGGAATGGGCCTCGGATTAAGCGGGATTAAGCTGGATTAAACGGGATTAAGCGGGATTAAGCGGGATTTAGCTGGATTAAACCGAATTTCGGACCAGGGCGAAAACAGAATTTGACCTCCCAGGAGTTGCATCTGAAGTCAGGCCTGTCCTCCCCAGGCTAGGTCGGGAGTGTCCTCCTAAGTAAACAGTAGTCAAAAAGATTCAAAAATGACCAACAAGAAATCGGCCCCTGATTATTTCTACTGTTTTCGTATATTCCACCTGTAGAGGGACATGCCCGACATAACCCCAGGGGGGGAACGAAGAGCGGAAGGACCGAAGGGAATAATCGCTGGCAACACGGCAGCATGGAGGGAGGACGATAAAACAGAAGCAGAAGGGGTAGAACGAGAGGGAGGAGGAAGAGGAGGCAGGAAAAGAGGACGGACGGAGGGAGGGAGGGAGGGAGGGGAGGAGGGAGAATGAAAAGGATAATGATGGTGAGAATGACTAGGACGCAGTGCCCCCCCCCCTGAGTACGCCTGTGTGGAGGGGCCGCCCTTCGGGCGCTGCTCACCCTGACCCTCCATTCCCCACTTCTTAAAACTCATGGCAGCAGTGACCACCTGGAAAGATGAGGAGAAGGAGGAGGTGGAGACGAGCGTAGAGGAGAGACGTAGAGGATGAGGAGGGGGAGGAGGAGGAGAAGGAGGAAGGGGAGGAGGAGGACGAGGAAGAGGAGGAGGAGAAGAAGGAAGAGGACGAGGAAGAGGAAGAGGACGAGGAGGAGGAGGAGGAGGAGGAGGAGGAGGAGGGATAAGGAAGAGGAGGAGTGACCCCCGAACGACCCCCTGAGCCCGGAGGGAAACGCGAGGATCATGACCAAGAACGAGCGTGGAACCGCCGGCATCGGTCTTGGTCATCGTCCATACGTGGACCACGATACGAGCTCGACCACAAGAAACCTTCCAGAAGAAACCCAACCCTGTGCTCCCAAAACGTCCACTGACTTCCTGTGTGGGAACGTCACGCCTTCCGTAGCTAAACCATCGAGGCAAAAAAAACTCATGGCACCATGGAGGCAAGCAGGGTGTTTCTTGGCATGGGCCTCCACCGTACGTGGATCCTAGCGAATTTGCGACGGCCAGCATGGACGAACACCAAGGTTGGCCTCGACGAAAGCCCGCAACAGCACGGTCATGGTCACTGTGCATCTTCCATCGAGCAGCTGAATCGGAAAAACCAAAGCTGACCGATGTCGCCACTCACTCGACATCCCCCATGCTCCGTTCTGACCACAACTTCGGGATGAATCAAGCCGCGGCGGCGAAAGTCGAAAACCAAGGAAGGGTCGCGGCATCGGTACCTCCCCCAGACATCCGATGTCTCGACTTTTTCAACACGGAGTCCCCAAAAGTCCTGACCGCTTCCACAGGGCCGGCGTCTCATCCCGAGCCATTGTTACAGCTCCCGGGTCCCGGCGAAGTCCCAGAGGCCGAAAACGGCGGGAAATCTCGGTCATGCCAAGACGCTGGATGCCCAGATTTCCGTCTCTGAGTGATAGGATCGGAGGATCGCGCCGCATCGCCAACGCATCGCCGATGCATCTGAGAGGTATCGGCACTGGATCGTCGAAGTCGGCGATGCATCGGCGACATCGGCGTGGAGCTCCACATTGAGCCACATCGACCTCATCTACACCAACCCCATCCAGGAGGCCCAGAATGCCGAAGCCACCGCCAGGCGGCAGTGCGGAAGGCGAGGACGAGATGGAGGTGGAGGATGAACGACCGGCTTCAGATCAGAGAAGTGACCTGACTACAACAAACCTGCCTGCTTGGCCTGCTTCTTCGCCCTGATCCTCTGCATGAAGGCCGTCAACAGGCCATCACCCTCGCTTCGTAGGAAGACGAGGTGGGGGAACCAATGGATACCGATACCGCTACTCCCCAGATCTCTCCCAGGGTGCGCTCTGACCAGAAATTCGAAGCGAATCAGCGGTGGCGACGAGGGCCTCCCAGGAGGCCCGATGAGTGGAAACCAAGGGAAGGGTAGCGGTATGGGCACCTTCTCCTGTGATGAGGAGGAGGAGGAGGAGGAGGAGGAGGAGGCGGAGGAGGCGGAGGACGAGGAAGACGAGGAAGACGAGGAACTGGAGGAGGTGTAAGAAGGAGGAAGAGGAAGAGGAGGAGGATAAGGAAAAGAAGGAGGAGGAAGAAGACGAAGAAGAAGAAGACGAGGAGGAGGAAAAGAAGGCAGAGGACGAGAGGTGGCCAAGGCGCGACTGCGTCGGAGAGTCACCGCCAGGCGACAGCGCGAGGCGCCCGAGGGCGGCGGGCCCCCGCGCGCGGCGGCGCCGGCGGCGATGCCGGGCAGCCGCACCGGGCTGCCCGCGCGGCTGCTGGAGCGGCCCGCCGCCTCGGCCGGATGCCAGCTGCGGATCGTCGTCGCCGTCATTCCCTCCTCCCTCCCATTCCCTCCTCCCTCCTGCTCCCTTCTCTCCTCCTCCCCTCGCTCCTCCTCCACCCCCCCTCC